TGGAAGTTCTGTTTCTTCTAGTTTTGGAAAATGTTCTTATTTCTTTTTTCTTTGTAGTTGTAGTGTAAAATTAGATTAATTTATTAAGTTTAATTATACTGTTAGTGTAGCATGTTAGTCTACCAAAAATAGTTTAGGTAGTGTTTTTATAGTTTATGTTGTAGTTAAGTAGTAGGTGAAGGGATAATTTTGTTATTTTTTCTTTTTGTTTGATAAATTAGTAAGTTTGAGAATTTGTTCAGTGTAGAATACAAGAATAAGTAGTTGTGTAGTGTTTTTAAGAGATTATATTCGTTTATTTTGTAGTTGAGTAGTAGGTGAAGGGGTATTTGGGTATTTCTTCTTTTTGTTTTTCTTGTAATAATTGTAGTAGTTCTATTAAGTATTGTGATAGATACACTATATCTTCCTTCAACTTCGTTGAAAAGTGCGTAATCTTGGTTTTCTGGTAGCAGAATATACGAAAAAAAATCTGATCAAATTTATTTGAAATTAAATTAATCTAGTCAAATAATGATAATAGTTAGTTTCAAAATACTATCCAGGGTGAGTTTCTTACGATGTTCTCTATGGGTATCTCGAAAACTACTGGAGATGGAGAGTCGGTTAATGGGGAAAGAATTGCAGTTTTGTGGGGTCATAAATATGCTTTTTTCGGATTTTTGAAAAAGTTTATCGCTTTAAAATTAAATTTTGGCTATTTTAAAACTTGGGGGGGGGCATGCAACTGGTCCACCTCTTCCGATCTCTGAGTTTGCATAATTGTGATATAAATAATTTTTAACATTTATTTCATTATGGGGGGGGAGGTGTCATAATGAAAGTCATGTTGGAACCACCCTATTGATGCATGCCCGGCTATCTAAATTTAACTTTTCTAACATGTCTTGAAAACCGTTCTCTAAAAAACGTAAATAACGTTCACCGGTCGTATCCTGGAAAATATATGGCCAAGAAAAGTTGAACCAATAATCCTACACGCTTTTCTTCATTAAAAAATTCATATTTACAATTTTTGTTTAAGCAAGTTGCAATTTTTTAAACATTTAATGAAGAATGTAAAAAGTTTTATGTTTTCAAAAAAAAATCGTAAAATTCGTAAAACACTCAGTTTAGAATAAAATAATCTAAGAATGAAATGATTCTTTTATAAACCTGCATTAAATCAAATTAAAGTAGGTATGTAACTTTTTCTAAATATTAATTAACAGTAATTAGCATTATCATAAATTACAAAAATGTACCAACATCTCGAAATAATAATTTCTTTCTTAATACGGTTTAGAATTTTTAAAATAACAGGCAAAAATAATCCACAATCTACAATAAAATAAAAGATTCGTTTAAATTTCTTAATCAGCTGATCACTATTAAAGATGCAGAAACCCGGGCTATATTATTACGTTACTCCGAGGGGTGTCTCACTATTGGAATTACATGTACATTTTCTTGGCAGTCGCTGGCAATCTTATGACAGTCGCTGGCAGTCTTATGGCAGTCCCCTATAATAATTACATGGCAGTCATAGGCAGTCCTCTTCATAGTCATTGGCAGTCGCTTAGCAGTGGAAGGATATTTTGGCAGTACGTGTACATTTTTTACCCGAGTGAGACACCCCTCGCATTACTCTGAAGAAAGTAACGAAAATAATCGATATTTTTGACTCCGCCCCGAAAGGTTCACGATTTGTCCTCCAGCTGGCAGCACATTTTATCTAGTCGGTTGAATAACTTTAAGAATATATAAACGAGAGTAATAGGGTTCCTGTTTTTACCCTTTGGGTACGGAACCCTAAAAATTCAAATTTGCAAAAAAATTATTTGTAAAATTTTTAGTCGTAGATGTTAATAACAATAGACTGAAGGAAATTTAGGACATACATCGATCCTTTATACGATTACATCCTCTTCTATCACGCGAATATATCCGTGGGTCGATCTCTGCTCAAATATTTATCGGCCAACACAAAGCTAGGTTGGCGGAAACTGCAAGCAAACTGAGTAGAGAATTACACTGAGATAGTTGCTAACGATTCGCTCTCTCACTGTTGTAACTAGAGCATCCATCGTCTCGCTTCTGGAAATAGTTGCAATCGGGTCTGGCAGAACGTTCGCGGCTTTCTGACTTGATGGCTTAATATTGAGGTGGTGCAAATGAATTGAATCACTGAAATATAAACGACATATTTGCAACTTAATAAGCCTGTTGAATTATATAGCTTTAATGCAACGAGGGATAGAGGAAGTCACAGGAATTGTTTCATTTTAATTGAAATGTTTCTGGAACTTGTTTGAGTGCTGCAGGCAATGTTTAATTTGAAATAAAATTATTGTGTCCATAATACATTTTCATCATTTGTGCCACGCCCTTTCTAATTTGAAGTTCAATAAAACACAAGTTTACTTAATTAGGATGAGTTGCATAGAGGCCACTAGCTTTTTAATTTTAACAGCCGGGTGATCGGGGTTCAAAGATGTTAATAAAAGGGCGCCACGAGATTATACTCTATGAACTCGGCATAAAAATGTTACTATTAAGTAGACTTCAACACTAGCCTCGAACTGTTGAGTGCAACTACCATAAACTTCAAATATGCTATAACTCGTTAAACTTAAGTGACTCTAACTTAACTATGAGACTAGACTGCAAATAATACTACTAAAAATGTTTAAGCAATTTATTAAAATATTAAAAGTTAATATTTAAAGAAATGGAAATGAATAAACGTTGAAAAGTAGCATAAAATTTAAATGAAGAAAACTAACTAACTAAAGTATGACGTCATAATCCCCCTTACTTAAACTAAGTACAATATCCTGGGTCGATTACAAATATCAAACTAAATCTAAACTAAAATTGTACAGTCTTACTCTACTCGATGTGATATTGAAAACTTCCTCCGGCTGAGCTACGGCGTATAGCTACAGGGTTGCTACGGCGGTGTACAGCAGCTCGGGGTACTGTCACTGGAGCCCTTCAGAAAATGTACAAGCAGGTGTAGGACTTCAAAAGGTGAACATAAAAACCCTAAATAGCATTGGTTGTCTTAGAAAAGAGCCTCAATTATACACAAGGACTAGCACATGTTTTTTGTAGAGAATTAAATTTACAATATTCTACCTTTAATTCTTTTTTCTCTAAAATAAATAGTAATAAAGATAGAGCAATTTTTTTATACGTTTTATAAATTTTCCAGTTTTTTAAGCCAATCAGCTATAATTTTTGCGTTGACGGTATAGTGTTAATATAGATAAACCAAGTATAACTTTAAGCATTAAAACAATTAAAAATAACGTTTAAATATTATTTATTAAATAAAATTATTGTTAAAAAATTATTATTAAATTAAAGTTATTAGATGAAATCTGTTATGACGTCATCCAGAGCGTCATTTTCGTCCTCAACTAAAATACAAAAGTTTGTACAACTGATTCCGTAGCACTAACCACACTTTGAAGAACATTTAAGACCCAGTTTTCTACAAGAGCAATTTTTAGAACACTGTCTTTCCAATTGCAAAAAAATAAAATAATTTTAGTATGTCGGGAGGCGCCACATCTTGTGTTGATTGAATAGGTGTCAGATTGCCTTTTTGATCTTTCTTCCATCCATATTGTAAAGGATCTTGTTACTAATCCACTCTTGAATCTAAAAAATATGACTTATAACATTTCCTATAATAGATACATCTTTACAGTTACCTGAGGAAATGGAGTTTTCCAGAATTCTCAGTTCAGGGTTTGTCTTGATGTAATCCTATTGTATAGAGTGTATCTCAAATGGTTAATATGTTTAATATAGCTTGGGTAGTGATATAGCTTTAAAATATAATTTTATCCTGACTGAAACAAGTCATCTTTGGTAGCATTTTTTTGGTAGCATTTGTATTGACAAAGATCGTCATCTTTTTTCATTTTTGACTTGTTTCAGTCAGGATTAAATTATCTTTTAAAGCTATATCACTGCCCAAGCTATATTAAACATATTAACCATCTGAGATACACTCTATACTATTACATATAGTATTACATCAAGACAAACCCTTAAGACTACCTTCAATTTAGCCCATTCGCCTCCAACTAAGAACTCTGAAAACTCCATTTACTCAGGACATACTTTCAGGTAACTGTAAAGATATATCTATTAAGCTTGTTTCATATAGACGCGAATCGCGAATTGCGATTTTGCGAAACTGCTCTCATTGGTCCAATTTTACTGATCATGGCGGCGCTGTCAGAAATTTTAAGATTTTGGCGATTCGCAAGATTTAAAATTTGGGGGGCGGGAAAGTTAAAGTGTTTTCAACTTTTTGCGAATATTCGCGCGATTTTAAGGTTCGCGTTTGCGCAGAATGGTGTTGTGATCCGGTTATCGATTATTTTGACCGTTTGACGACGCTGTCGCAAAGTAACTTGAAAGCATTTCTCCAGCTTTAGTGTGTTCTGTGTTCTCCAGTTGAAATGGGTTCTCGTCAAATACATAGTCAAATACGTCTAAAATAATTTAAACGTAGGGGAAATGTGCCCGTGATGGACCCCCGCCTATGATGAACCACTAGCTATAATTTCAAATTTACCGCGGATAACGAACTGTGGCCACCTAGGGTAGACTGGTTAAAGTTTAAAATTAGTTGTTTACATGTGCTTACGCAAATACAAGCTGTTTTTGTGAAATTAAAAAATAAACTTATTACTGGTAAGTATTGATGTAACAAAGTAGCATGATATGATGTCAAGTAACTTTTTTTTACGCACAGCTAGAATCTGCTGTTGTTGCGGTAGGTTAAAAGAAGTGTTGTGTAATAAGTGCCGAGCACAAATTAGGGTTATGTCCAATATTTTAAAAACTTGGGATTTTTAAATGGCGTATTCAAAATGGCCTATGATGGATCCCTTAGCTGTTTCCTATGATGAACCAGGGGTCCATCATAGGAAAATCATAGGGCCATCATAGGCAATGCATTTTTTATATTTTTAAGTTATTTCTTTTTCTTTATAGACATGGCATCTAACAAACGGCAACAGTGGAATGAGGAGGACATGCGACGGGCTATTATTAACGTACAAAGCCAAAATATGGGCTATAAATTAGCTGCAAAGACCTTTAATGTTCCCAAGACAACATTGCGAAGACGCTTAGAGAAACAAGACAGCTCCAAGGGTTATTTAGGAGGGCGAAAGGCCACTTTCTCCAAAGCCATAGAAGACGAGATTGCAGGTCATATAATCGAAATGGAGACAAGATTTTTTGGACTAACTTCCAAAGATTTACGGCGGATGGTATTTGAAGTAGCCGAAAAAAATAAAATAAAACATTGTTTCAATCGGGAAGTTAAACTGGCAGGTTGGAAGTGGGTTAGGGGATTCCTAAAACGCAATCCACAAATATCTTTGAGAAGCCCAGAAAGTACGTCATTAGCTAGAGCCCAGGCATTTAAAAAACCTAATATAGAAGCCTATTTTAACGCACTATCCAATATTCTGGAGCAGTACAACTTTTTGCCCGAAAATATATACAATATGTATGAATCAGGTTTGACTACAGTGCAAAAAAAATGCCAAAAAATTTACGCTGCAAAAGGTCGGAAGCAAGTGGGTGCTCTTAGTAGTGCCGAGCGTGGACAGCATGTAACTGTAGTATGCGCAATAAATGCCATAGGCACTTACGTCCCTCCTGCTCTTATTTATCCTCGTCAAAGGATGAATGAGGAACTAATGAACGGTGATGAAGGTTGAATGGTTGGATGACCAGTGAAATTTTTTGTAAATGGCTAAAGCATTTCGTAAGATATACGAAAGCGTCTAATGAGAATAAAACTCTTTTACTTCTTGATGGTCACAGTAGTCATAAAAGTCTTGAATCTCTACAAATTGCAAAAGAAAATGGTGTTATTGTGTTTTGTTTTCCTGCACACTGTTCTCATCACGTTCAACCTTTGGATGTTGGATTTTTTCGTCCACTTCATACCTACTTTGATCAAGAAATCCAGTTATGGCTGCGTCAAAACCCGGGAAAAGCAGTAACCCAATTCAAAATAGCAGGTCTGCTAAACCAAGCCTATCTAAAAAGTGCAGTCCCATCAAATGCGATAAATTTGTTCAAGAAGACGGGCATCCATCCTTTTAACCCCCATGTTTTTGAGGACTGGCAGTTTGCACCAGCTCTAGCAACAGATAAGCAGATTTCCGAAACTCGAGGCGATATCAACGAAAACCAAATGGAATTAGACATTCAAGACCAACCAAGTACATCTGGTCATAACTTGTCTTCATCATCAGTGTTCGACATATCGGTAAAAGAAATTTTGCCCCCACCACAAGCAATAGCCATTGGTGCTGATAAAGGAAGCAAGAGAAAGCGTGGAAAAACTGGCCATTTAAATTCAACCCCAGAAATTTCTGAACTTAAAGATAAAGTAATTGAGAAGGAAATAAAGTTAAGAAAACAACAGGGCAGGGCAGTAAAACGAAAACTTGTCATTGCAAATAATGACGACAGCTCTGATGAAGATGAAACCATCTTAGAAGAATTTTTAGGACGCGAAAAGGATGAATCCGATGCTAGTTGTCTATATTGCAATGAGTTATTCTCTCAATCACGTGCGAGAGAGAAGTGGATTAAATGCCAGCTTTGTCAGTCCTGGTGCCACAATTTATGTGCTAGTGTAAGCTACCGATGTAAAACGTTTATTTGCGAATTATGCTCCTAATCTTAATTATTTGTCTTGTGTTTGTTAAACTAATGTAAATTTTATTTTTTTCTTAACTTTTAAACTATTTTTTTTGTCTGCTTTAGGTTAGTTTATTCCATTTTTATTATAGAAAAATATTTTGTTTAAAATAAAACTTTTGAAAGGCGTTATCTGTTGTTTTTATAGGGGACCGACATAGGTACATAGGTGCCAATGATAGACCCTCGACTATGTTTTATTATTATGATTATTTTATTTAATACGAAATTATTTAGTAGCAAATTCACCTCATAATATATTAAATTTGGAAGTAAATAATCGATTTTCAAAAAAATAAATCTAATAACTACAAAAACTAAAAAGTTATAATGGAATTTCCTTAAGGGGTCCATCAAGGGCACATTTCCCCTATTTGGTTCTCGTGCATATGTTTTTGATATATATGGTGACAATTTTTCAACTTCAACCAAGTTATCAAACTCCTATAGAGACAATCTGTGAAAATCTTCCTAAATTTTTTCTCATTTTTTTTTTATTTCTTGAATTAAATTGTGACAAGCACCTTGTTGCTTACAAAATTTGAATATTTCACATGTCCCAAATGACCCATAAATGACCTATAGACCTGTGCTATAAACTATAAACCCGTTCTCTTCTACGTTTTAACAATAAGTAAATGGCAATTTTGCACCTTATTCTATTCCAATCCCACAATCGTAATCGATATTCATAATTATTAAAAAAATGGAAACTCATATTGTATGCTATAAAATATAAAATAAAGATCGTAATCACGAATAAATATGTATAAAACAAATTAAGTTATCTCAGGTTAGGATTTTTTTGGTAACTTTCCGTGGAACAAAAATGAAATGTCCCTAAAAATTCGCGACTGTATGAAATAGGTCCAAATTTTGCGAATATTTTTTGGCGAATCGCTTTTCGCAATTCGCGATTCGCGTCTATATGAAACAAGCTTTATAGAAAATGTTATAAGTAGTATTTTTTAGATTCAAGAATAGATTGGGAACAAGTTAGATTCTTTACGATATGGATGGAAGAAAATTCAGAAAGGCAATCTGACACCTATGTAATCAATAGAAGATGTGGCGCTTCCTGATCTACTATTTTTTTTTGCAATTGCGAAGAGAGTCAGTGCTTTAATAATTGCTCTTGTGGAAAACTGGCTATTAAATGTTCTTCAACGTGTGGTTAGTGTTACGGAATCAGTTGCACAAACTTTTGTATTTTAGTTGAAGACGAAAATGACGCTCAGGATGACGTCATAGCAGATATAATTTAATAACTTTAATTTAATAATAATTTTTTTAACAATAAGTTTATTTAATAAATAATATTTAAACGTTATTTTTAATTGTTTTAATGGTTAAATTTATACTTGGTTATCTATATTAAAGCTATTATTATACTGTTAACGCAAAAATTAAAGCTGATTGGTTTAAAAACACTGGCAAATTTATAAAACGTATAGTAAAAAATTGCTTTATCTCTATTAATATGTATTTTAGAAAAAAAATGATTGAAGGTAAAATATTCTAAATTTAATTCTCTACAAAAAACATATCTTTATTTTTTTGGAAAAAAGTTATGCAAACGGAGATATTTGAAAAAAACGAAAAAATCCAAGATGGCGGCGGTTTTTTTCAAACTTCCCCCACTGGGACCGAATGGGACTTTTAAAGGGTTAAATAGGAGATCATTATCTACACATTCCCGTTGAGATCGGTTGGTTACTAATTTTTTCCACCTCAACCTCCAGATTGACTGGCCTATATTCTCCTCAAATTTCCCAAAATATTGCTTCTGTCGAGGCGCATCCGAGGTAATCACAATAAAAAATATTTAACAAAACGTAGGTTTCTTTCTTTTAGGTTATTTGTTATAGGTTATTTGTTATACAGTTGGCCAACCTCTTCAACTTTGTTGACGAATTTGGGTTGTTACACAACACGTTCTTGACCACACTCTCATTAACAGAATCACCTCTATTTTGTGCCATTATTTCCTAATTTTGAAAAGGAAGTTCAAGAAATGTCCCCCATAAAATATTTTGTGCAATCTAACTAGTCTTCATTAGGCATTTTGAAGATAGACTGAAAACGAGCGGTCTTTTTGCAGAAATGTACAGCAAATGTCATCATTGTTTACATTTCCTAATTCCGATTAGACATCAAAGCGACTGAAACCAAAAATATTAAAACTAAATATTTTTGACTGAAACAGATAGGCTCTTTTTGCAAAATGCCGAATTATTCGATACGCCTGCGACATATACAGGGTGTCCCACAATACCTCTCGGCTGTATCTCGGAAAGAATTAGCCGTAGGGCCTACGGAAAAAATATTTACAGCTAAAGGGGCTATGAGAAATTGCTGGAAATTATTTTCAAGTTTGCAAAACGGCCGCTAGAGGGCGCAACTGCTATGGAAAATAAGAAAATAAGAAAATAGATTTTTTACAGAATTTTGCCTAGATAATGGGTACTATAAATAATAGCTTCATAATATTCGGTAATTTTTTTTTTGTTCACTGTTACTAATATCTCAATTATTAGATAATACATCTGGTATTATGATATTCTGGTATTTCGTCGATTTTAAAATGAACTAACTGTTTCTATCTTATTTTTTTTTGTTGGAATGGGCATAATCAAGAAGGTTACTGATACCATGTTGTAAAAATGAGGTAATTAAGGGTTTAATTTTTGGTATCTGTTATAATTTTGCTAATATCTTCGGTTTGAAAGAAGATATCAAAGTGCGGTTTTTGCTGACTTTTTAAGCTTTTACTACTCTTTACTATAAGCTAAAATTACATATACTGTTGTATTTTTTTTTGGAAAAAACTCGCTGTTTGTTAAATTGTTAGAAAGCACTCCCTAGCGTCTACGTTCAAAACTTTATTATTATTTTTTTTATGGTATAATATAGAGTAAGAAACGCTTTTTTAAACGAGCTTTTGTTTGTTGGATTCTGATCATCCAGTCTGGAGTTATTAACATTTAAATAAAGATAGATCTAACCTTCCCCCACCACTTTATTTTAGCAGATAGGGGAAAATGGTTCTAATAAGAAAAATCCAAAATTTACTGAAGATTATGAAGCTATTATCTATAGCACCCATTATCTAGGCAAAATTCTGTAAAAATTATATTTTCTTATTTTCCATAGCAATTGCGCTCTCTAGCGGCCGTTTTACAAACTTGAAAATAATTTCCAGCAATTTCTCATAGCCCCTTTAGTTATAAATATTTTTACCGGCTAATACTTTCCGAGATACAGCCGAGAGCTATTCTTAGTGGGACACCCTGTACATTACTAAATTTAGTATATACCTATATAAGCACCGCAATTTCTTAAATTACAAGCTTTGATCTAAAATTAGCTGTTTTATCCTTACTATTCCACAGTTCCAGCAAAATAGGACTAATTAACTCGTTATGAGGTCATCTAAAGATAGAGAATTTGGTTGTGTATATCACAAGAATATCAGTAAAAAATGTGGTCAGATTTAAAAACATTCAAAGTTTAATTATTGATTAATTAATTGATTCAAGGCTGTGACACGACACGCGACACAACAGGCGAGAGGAAAAGTGGTAAAGCTTAGAAAAAATCGTCCGATTTAAATGAAATTTAATATGTCGATAAATTGGACCAAGGCCAACTTAACCGTGTACGACACGTGTCACTGTGACAGTTAGTTTTGATGTAAGAAACGTCAAAAGCTGATGTCGTTTTTATATTTTTAAAAAATATTTAATAAAGATTTTACTATGAATTTTTCATAAATCCCAGTTTAACCTAGAAAATAGTAAAATTAAACGTAAATGTGAATTTTTGATTCGATAGTGAGGTAATTTTGCGTAAAATAATGTTAAAGAAACTAAAATAAAATTCAAGCAGAATATTGAGTAGGGTAATTTTAGAAAACGTTTACCTCGCTAAAGCACACCTGATTTTATTTTTGCATAAACCTCAAGAAATATTAGAGGAAATAAAAGATATTCTAGGGAAAATAAGGCAAATTTAACCATAAATGCGTTTTATAGAACGGAATTTAAATCCAGTAGGTATCCTTTAAATTAAAAGCAAACAAATTGTACAAACAAATTTTTCTACATTGTCTGAATATTCCTGCAGGCATATTATTTGTTTTCTTTAGCGGATTAGTTTTTATTACCTTTGTTCCCCCATTAGTAAGAAATATCGCAACCTAATTTTTAAAATGTTTTTAAATGTTATGTTCAAATTATTATGAAGTGGAGATAATTCTAAAATTCCATGAAGTAGTTAGAACGACTAAACAATGGACATATGTGAGAAAAAAACCCTAACTGAATATAGTAGACTAGTGTGTTAATTTAAAAATCAGTTTTACTTTATATAGAAATAAATTAGAACCTTCTTAAGGTCAACTGGCAGTAATCGCCATTAAAAATACATTGGGCTTTACCTCGCCAAAATTATTACCGATTGTCATTCCCCAGCCGTCTTTGACGCCTTTTTTTCGATCGTATGGTATTATGGTAATATAAACAAAACCACACGATTAATATTTTTGCATAAAATATATACAGGGTGTTTCAAAACAAATGCGAAAAACTTTAGGGGATGATTCCTTGTTCAAAATAAAGGGTAGTTTGCTTTATAAACGTTGGGTCAAAAGTCAACCATTAGGGAGATATCGCGGTACAAAGATGACGGAAAAATAATGTTTTTATTTTTTATCTTGAAAACGAAAAGAGATAGACTAATTAAATTTTATGGAAGCATTACTGTTATGAAAACACACTTTCAGGTAATTTTTTACTTTTTAAAATGAGTGGAAGGGGTTGAAATAAACTACCCCTATCATTCTTGTTAACGAAATTTAAAGAAAAATCTTATCAAACACATGCAAATGCTTTAATTTGGATAGTCTAGTTTGTTTAGAAACTTTTTTACCTCTTGTGTTTTTGTGATAAAACTCACCGATTGGAAATTAAAAAATAAAAT